AAGGTGAGGGTCCGCCCGCCCAGCGGAGCGTGCGGTGGGCGCCGCGCCTGGGACCCGGCAAGAGCGGGCGAGCGTGAGCGCGCGGGACGCTCGGAGGCAACCCCGCCGCAAAGTCTTTAAAAAGTTTCTCTCCTCCGGAGCCGAGTGTCAGATCCGAGCAGCCAATCTCCGGCAGACGTGACGTCAGGCAGTAAATCCTAATGGGGGAGCGCGAGAGATGAGCCCGAGCACACGCCGCCACCCTGCACATCCACCGAGATTGTGACTGTGGGTCGGAAAGGCAGAGGCCCCCCGCCCCGGTCTGTGCCCCGGGACAGCACAAAGGTCTCAACCGAGTTACTGAACGGTCCTTTCCTTCTAGAAGCCCTTTAGGATTCGTCTGATATTGTTTGGAAGTCCTGGCACTTTCTTATCCGTGTTTCCTCAACCACTTGCTGCGGGAGTTGGATTAAAAATGCCAACTCGAGCCCCAGAAAAAGCTTGTCCGGGGTGCGCCGAGTTTTCCATCGCAAAGCATTTTGATGGTCCTCTCTGGGACTGTAAATTCCCGGTAACTGAGTTTTTTGGTCAGCAACCTCTGTCTGGTACCCTGCTACTCGCTCGGCAGGTACAATAGTGCAGGGTGGTCAGCAGGGGGCGCCCGCGCAGATGGAGAAAACCGCAGAGGCAGCCCTGCCCTTGGTCCTGCAGGATGGGAAAGTAGAGTTCAGGATCCCTGAGAACCCCCTTAAGCCATTTTTGGTGTTTTAATTTTTCAAAGTCAGATCAATTTCCAGGACTTCAGTCCAAAAGAATCACTCAGCCTGGAGGTGATCCAAGATCACATTAAGGGAGAAGGCAGAAGGTTCCAGGGGACAGAGTTGCTCTTTGGGGAAAAGCAGGAAATAATAGCATCTTTACTTCTCACACTTGAATTAAGAACGATGTCACCAGAAGAATGCATGATTTTACTATATGAATGCAAAAGAAAAGCCTGATCTTAACAATTTTTGCTTTTTTTGGGGTTTGGGTTTTTTGAGGAGGGGGTGTTATTTTGTTGGTGGTGCTTTTGTTCTAAGAATGGTGCATTTCCAAGTCTTTGATTTTTGTTCATGTTTATGTGTCACTTTCCCTTTGCTTTCTTGTCTGCCTACAATGGCCAGCAGACAATTGGTAGCAGGTGAGAATTGTTTAAGAAATATCAATGGAAAAGACATTTAAAAATGATAAAAATCCATTCATCTGTATTTAATTTCTTTTTTTAATTTTTTAAGACACTAGTATGTCTGTATGTATAAACGTGGCTGTAAATCCAATGTGATACTGCAATCTGTACACGTGGAAAAATAAGAATTCATACCCAATTTGAATCAAATGTATGACATGTCAAGATCATTGTGATGTTTTGAGCAACTGTGTTTAACTTCTTTTTCTGTACGTTGGAGGAAGAACTCCAGTATTTGATTTGGCAGAAGGGGACCTCAGTACAAATGTCTGAACATCAGTTTCCCGTGAGAATACTGTCCTGAGAGCCTCTGTCATGGAATAAATAACAGGTCGTAGAGGGAAGAGACCCCACTCAGTTCCAGTCGTAGGCTGCTGCTGATTAGCTGAATGACCACGGGCACTTCACCTTTCCTCACTGCACCTCAGCTTCCTCCTGGTGTCTTTAACTAGAGAAGAAAAAGGGGAAAGAAAGGTGGGGAGATCTTATGAAAATCAAAGGGAGATCAGTAAAAGAAAGGGACCAGACAGTGGGAAGAGGAAAAGGTGAGGGGAAATACTGGAGAATAATATTGACCAAATTATATTGTGTGCATCTATGAGTAGGTAACAATAAATTCCACCATTATGTACAAGTATAATGCATCAATAAAAATATGGAAAAAAAAATAAAACAACAAATAAAAATAAAATTGTCTTCCAGCCCTAACAGTCTACAGCTCTCAAAACATCCAGGGTCCCTCTGGACAGGATCATTCTAGGTCAGTCTCTGAGCTAGGCCAAAGTGAACCAGCTGAGAAAAATTAAGGAAAGAGGAGGGTCAAGAAGACACCTGGTTCTGAATGAAAAATACAAGACAAACTAATAAATATCCACCAAGCACCTGCTCTGAAGAAGACACAGAAGCAGAGCCTCTGGAGATATAAAGTATCATAAGGCATAATGCCTTTGTCTTTGAGAAACTTCCTATCTGGTTTAAAAACAGAAACAAAAACCCAATGAAGTAATACTTTGAGAAAATAGAATTCTTAACAAGACAGGACAGGATTTCTGTGGTCCTGGATCATAACACAGCTTGTGGAGAATTCACAGCATGCAGAGAAAATATTTCCCACCTGTTACTAAAATAAATCCACAAAGATTTTACCTCTCAGGGATTCTACCACAGCAATTTAAGTAGGTGGGAGTGGGGAGAGGGTGTCTAGCAGAGTTAACAAATTAATGAAGAGACAGAAGAAAAGAAGGGAGGTGTCAGATAAGTGAAAGTTCTGGCAATAGTAAAGAAGAGTATGACTGTGATATATGTACACAATGGAATATTACTCAGCCTTAAAGAAGAATGAAATCATAGCATTTTCAGGTACATGAATGAAGTTGGATAATACATACTAAGTGAAGTAAGCCAATACCCTCTCCCCACCCCCCAAAAAATGTTTTCTCTGATAAGTGGTTGCTGATCCATAATGGGGGGAGGGGCAAGGGAAGAATGAAGAGACTTTGTATTGGGCAGAGAAGAGGATGAGGAGGGGAGAGGGAGTGGGGGGAGAGGTGAAATGAGATGAACATTATTACCCTATGTACGGGTATGATTGCATGAATGGTGTGACTCTACATCATGTACAATAAGGGAAATTAGAAATTGTGCTCCCTTTATGTAAATAAAAATAATTAAAATTTTAAATAAATAAATATATATATGTATATATATGTGTGTGTGTGTGTATATATATATATATGTGTGTGTGTATATCTATATATATACACACACACACACACGTACATACACACAGCACAAGCCTGGTACAATAGTGCACACCTATAATCCCAGTGACTCGGGAGGCTGAGGCAGGAGGATCGCAAATTCAAAGCAGCCTCGGCAACTTAGTGAGGTCCTAAACAACTTAGCAAGACCCTGTCTCAAAATCTAAAATAAAACCAAACAAAATAAAAAGAGCTGGGGATGGGGCTTGGTGGTTAAGCACCCTAGTTCAACCCCTGAGACAACAACAACAAAAATCCAGTGCCATCTTCCTTTCTCGCGACCCACAGCAGTGCAGAGTTGGATCTTTCTAGCCCGTTACCACTCTCTTTATGACAGACTGTTGTCCATCACAGTTGATCATCTGCAAAACGTAACAACAGGAAAAACCTATAGTGTGAGTGTTAACCCCGTCTCTAGAACACCATCCCCTATGAGCCATCAACATGGAGACATGCCTGTGAGCTCGCAACCCGCTCCAGCTAGGAGACTGCAGCAAAGTCAGTTTTCCAAATAAGCCTCTTGCCATTTACAAAACTAGCAAGATAATCCTTGAAAAATGTTCTCTGCTCCCCACATACTATCCTATGAGACGGTCGCTCATCGACGACCCTGAATGTGCTGTAATTTTGAAAGTGAAAGCCCAGTTTCTGTCAGGCATGGGGACCAGCCTTTGCCAAGTCTAGACCCACTTTCATGCCATGGAGCCGGGACCCAAACCCCCCTAGGGTTCAGGGTCCATTTATCTTGGCAGTCCACAACTTCCTGGTTCAAAAACCAAGTCTTTAAAGATCTCATAAAACTTCTTGGACTTCAGATGGTTTTCACAAAACAATACTCAGATGAGCTAAGTGTAAATGAATCAGAAAAGAGGATTATGTTTCCCATAAAAAAAAAAAAAAAAAAAACAACCTCCTGGGTTGGAGGATTAGGGGAAGAAAGACAGGCTGGCAAATGCCAAACGTTTTAAAGCACTTTGAGACCATTAGTCCAACTCAGAATGCAGCCAGGTTCCCTCCTCTTTACACTTTATGAGTTTTGTAATTGAAAATCTTTTCCTACGTTTAAGATCGGCTACAAATCAAATTTAGTGGCTGCCTATGATCAGAGCTGCTTCTACCCATGTTTTCCTCCAGCCAAGGACTTCACGGAGACCCTTTTAGTTCTTCCTAGTTTCATCAAGAAATTCTTAGAAAGAGAAAGGGAGGGGACAAGGACAGAACGAGGCAGCAGGAACCTAAGAGGCTGCACGCAAAGGAAGAGAAGAAGGAGCCTGAAAGAGAGAAGTTGAGGGGTGGGGGGGAGGGCGCGGGCTGCTGTGGTCCCTAAGGTCCATGGTTAAAGTTCTGCTCCCCAGGGTGGCGCCACTGGAGAAGGTGGTACCTTTGGAA